ATATTATCACTACTAGTATGTTTTTAGTTCATGAGTTTAAATGTGTTTGTGGTGATTAGTTGGCTAATTTCTTGATTAAGTAAAGGATCCTCAAATTAGCAAGCAACAAATAATTTTTGTGTTGTTTTTGCTTCACACAATCATAAAAACATTTCTTCCAACATGTGGTGAAAGCATTTGACCCCTCTTGGATTTGGTGACTTTTTGGTTCTTAATGCTAGTTGACTTTCACTAATTACATGCTTAATGGAAATTGTGACTTTGACTAAGGAAATTGTTATGAGCTTCTCTAACCATTTTAACAACTAAGAAAAGTCTAGGTAATCTCAAGCTTCTTGGATTACTATAGCCAAATTGAGGATTTAAAACAAGTATTGCACTATTAAATTCTAATGATATGTTCATCAAAAGTCAAAGTGAGGAAACCTTAAGTCAATCATCCTTCTCTTATTGATTTTACATCAAACTCTTATTTGTGTTACAATTGTCTATTTAAATCATAGTTAATTCTAGTTTGTTTCAAGTATTTCAAAACATCAAAACCCCCATTTTTAATTTATTGTCATATTCCAAGTATTTTTACAAAGAGATTTTTCATAGAGTTATCAAATCGAACCAATCTCTGTGGATTCGATCCCTTTACCGCTATACACTATTTTAGTGTGTAATATTTAGGGTTATTATTTGTGTTGGCCTCAACAACCACCATCCACTTTGGCCGGGTCAACCAAAATATCGTTCTGGTTGACAAGGTGCCCCAGAAACTGCACTTCGCGCAACCAAAACTCACACTTGGAGAACTTGGCGTACAAGCTCTCCTTCCTCAGGGTATCCGACACCTCCCACAAGAGTTCCTCGTGCTGCTCCTGCGTCTTGGAGTAAACCAAGATGCTATCGATAAAGACTATCACAGACCGATCCAACATCGGTCTGCATACGCGGTTCATGATATCCATGAATGCGGCAGGAGCATTCGTGAGCTAAAGGGCATCACCACGAACTCGTAATGACCGTAACGAGTTCGAAAAGAAATCTTCTACACATCCTCGTCTCTGACCCTCATCTGATGGTAGCCTGAACACAAATATATCTTGGAAAACCAAGATGCCCCCTGTAGCCGGTTGAAGAGATCATCAATCCTCGGGAGTGGGTAACGGTTCTTAACCATTACCTTGTTCAGCTCCTAGTGATCTATACACATCTGGTGCGACCCGCCTTTCTTCTTCACAAACAAGATCGGGGATCATAAAGGCGAACTGCTCTGCCTAATGAATCCCTTGTCTAACAGCTCCTGCAGCTATGTAGACAACTCCTGCATCTCGAGAGGAGCCAACCGATATGGTGCCTTGGCTATCGAAACCGCACCAGGGACTAGGTCGATCCTGAACTCCACTTGTCTCTCTGGAGGTATCCCAGACAACTCCTCTGGAAATACATCTGGGTACTCTCGCACAACTGACACATCACTCACGGTTGCCTTACCCGCATCCTGGGTATCCATAATGTAGGCAACATACCCTCGCAACCCTATTGGAGTTAGCGTCTAACCCTCGCTGCCGAACACAAAGCTGGTCCACACTATAGCCTCTCTCCTTGATTCACCAACTCTCCCCCACTTAGGGTCCTGACACGTTCCAACTGCTGCACGCAGTCAATCTCCGCCCCATATATGTGTAGGAATTGATGTTCTGGAAAAAAAGCAGTAGTTCCTAACAATCACTACATACCTGAAGGGTGCTTGTGTTATTAATGATACTTCAAGGGATGATGTGTTGTAGGAATTGATGTTTTGGAGAAAGTAGCAGTTTCTGATAATCACTACATACTTGAAGGGTACTTGTGTTATTAATGATACTTCAAGGGATGATGTTGTAATTCTTTAGCTATATATACTTTATGATGTCTAGAGTTTGAGCCTCTAGCTCTTAGTATCTTCCTTCATAGAATCCTAATATTCTCTCTGCCACTTCTTTACATTTCTTACTAAATCTTCTCATAGTTTTGTACATGTTTCAGATTATGATATCGTGTTCTCGCTAATATGCGAGAAGGGAATTAGGTTGGATAATTTATGTATGAAATTAGTGTGAGGTTTCTTTTTTGTAAGTATTTGAAATGATTCTTAGTAATAAAGAGAAGTATTCTTTATATATATATATATATATATATATATATATATATATATATATATATATATATATATATATATATATATATATATATATATATATATATATATATATATATATATATATATATATATATATATATATATATATATATATATATATATAAACAAATCTTTTTTGGGGCACATGTAAGATCCATGCACCGAATTTCCCAAAGCTACACTCAGCCATTACAAGAGCCACCTCTCTCTATTTTGGAACATCTTTCTTCTCTATGTTGGAACATCTTTTGTAACGGTTTTTATTCAACATGTTTCCTTTTTATTTTGGAACTCATTCTTCCGGTGTTTGATTTACCCTCACCTATGACAATGCTTCTTGGAGTTTAGGAATTATAGATAGAAACATGATCTTCCTTTTCTTTGTTTATCCTTTCTCTCTTTCATATTGATCCTTATTTAATGGTCAATTAACGATGAACTAGGTGTAGGTAATTAAATGATGATGATGATTAATATGAAAGCTTCCTAAAATGGAACTTAAAGGAATGTGGGTAGTTATCCTGATCGTGGAAAATTATGACACGGTGAAATAAGGGTTAGATGTTTTAGATTGATTTATAATTATACCATTTTATTTAATGATTAACTAACGTAGAATTGGATGTAGTAGCTGGACTTAGAACGAAATGTCAAGGTTAGCACATATGATTTTGAAGAAAGCAAGATAGAAAACTAAACTACACCAAAAAGTTTATAAGTCGTACTATAAAGGTTTATGAAACACAAGGTTTATATATATATATATATATATATATATATATATATATATATATATATATATATATATATATATGTTCAGGTTCATTTTAAAACATTTTAATTTTGTGACACCGTGAGACCAAACCTAAAAATAATTTTAAAATGCACAATAAATGGAAAAATCCAAAATTTTTTTTTTAAAGTATTATTTTCGGAACTTGAATTAACTAAATAAATAAATAAATTAATAAATAAATAATAAAAATAAAAAAAATCCTGTTTTTTTTTTTTGAAAAATACGTGAAATATTTTAATAGAATATTACATTGACATATTCTAAAAAATAATTTTAAAATGCAAAATAAATAGAAAAATCTAAAAATTCTTTTTTTAAATATTATTTTTGTAACTTGAATTAACTAAAAAAAATCTTGTTTTTTTTTTTTGAAAAATACATGAAATATTCTAATAGAATATTACACTGTACATATTCTAAAAAATAATTTTAAAATGCAAAATAAATGGAAAAAATCCAAAAATTCATTTTTTTAAATATTATTTTTGGAACTTGAATTAACTAAAGAAAATAAAAAATAAAATAAAAAAATATGTCTCACGGTGTCACAAAATTAAGCCGTCTCACATGAACCTAACTCTATCAGGTTCATTTGAGACCATTCTAATTTTGTGAGACCGTGAGACCAAATCTAAAAATAATTTTAAAATGCAAAATGAATGGAAAAATCCAAAAATTATTATTTTAAAATATTATTTTCGTAACTTGAATTAACTAAAAAAATGGAAAAAAAAAAACCGTTTTTTTTTTGAAAAATACGTGAAATATTCTAATAGAATATTACACTGTACATATTCTAAAAAATAATTTTAAAATGCAAAATAAATGGAAAAATCTAAAAATTCATATTTTAAATATTATTTTCGAAACTTGAATTAACTAAAAGATATAAAAAAAATAAAAAAATCCCATTTTTTTTAAAAAAAAAATACGTGAAATATTCTAATAGAATATTACACTGTACATATTCTAAAAAATAATTTTGAAAGTGCAAAATAAATAGAAAAATCCAAAATATCTTTTTTTAAATATTATTTTCGGAACTTGAATTAACTAAAAAAAATAAAAAATAAAAAAAATAAATAAAATAAATAATTGTATCTCACGATCTCACAAAATTAGGCCATATCACATGAACATATATATATATATATATATATATATATATATATATATATATATATATATATATATATATATATATATATATATTACAAAAATGAACCAACAAGTAGTTTGAAAAACTCGTGAATTCATTCTTGATTCGCGGAGAAACATATTGTAAGTGTTAGTCCATGTTCATCCATGACATTACAAATTATGCTTATTTTATACACACTAGGTGTGATGGGTGTATTTAAAATAATTAAATATGTATAAACATTTGAGAAATTTGAATTTATAAGAAAAATAAGAAAAATATTGAATTACTAAAATTAAAGTGTTTTTTTTTCTTTTTTAAATTTAAACAAATCATTTAGATAAAATAATCAAAGAAAATTAATCATATTTTATTTTAAAATTTTGAAATTATAAGGAAAGTCCATTAATAAAATTGATATGCATTTATTATTAATTTTAAATACCATATGGAATTTAATAAAATAGGAAAACCACAAAATTACATATGAAATAAAAATTAATTTAAAATAACTACAAAATGACATGTGACAAAATAAATGAGAATGTGACAACTACCAAAAAGAACTTTTATTAGAGAAAATTTGCTCTTCTAAAACTATATTATTATAGATATATGTAAATACCACAACTTGCGAGAAATTTGAAAAACTAGCGAACAGGTTCTTGCTTTGAATAGCAATGTTTTTTTAAAACATACATTATTTTCAGCGATGATATTAATAATGTAGATTAGTGGGACTATAAAAACCACAATATTCTTGGGAAATGACCTAAAAACACTCAAATCTACACTCACAGGGTTATTCACAATCAAGGAAGTGTCGACGTTACCGATGAAACATGCATTGATTGGAATAATTTTGAAATAAACGCTAGCTGGCAACTGTTACAATGGAGGGGAGACCAAAGGACACCTGGACGGAAGTTCGCTGGAGACAGCGTGATTTTGGCAGGAAGCGATTGGAAAAATCAACCACTATGTTTGTCTCCAACTTTCCTGATGGGGCTCGTAAGGAGAATATTAAAAAGATCTTCTCTAGATATGGAGACATCTCGGATGTTTATATGGTGACAAAGAAGGATATACACAGGAAGAACTTTGCGTCTGTCAGCTTTAAAGGAGTGGATGACGAGATGCGGCTAGAGTATTCCCTTCAAGGTATCAAATGTATGGGGTCAAGATTGGAGGTTAACGTGGCGAGGTTTGAACGGAAAGACGGGCCAACGATAAAGCGGAACATAGTCGGAAACGGGCCAAATTCCCAACAAAAATCTACAGACTCTTTCTGTGATGGCAGAACCTTTGCAGCAGTGACATCAGGGTTTCAACAAGACCTGCCTCCTCCCCTCCTGGTGTTAACAAACAAACCTATTAACCTAGAGACCGACTCCTTCTGGTCGCATTGGATACTTAGTCCATTAACTCTAATCGGGTATGTTCGTAGCATAGAGGGTCTAAGGAATCTACCGTTGAAGTACAGGTTGGGCCACGACGGTGCCTATGGAATGAAATACATGGGAGGTCTATCAGTTGGTATTAGATTCAGAAATCCGGTGGATGTCAAGGAGTTCCTTGGTGACGAAAAACATTGGGGCAAATGGTTCAGTGAATTTGGCTGGAAGCTCGTACATTGGGAATCGGGATAGGATTGAATGGTTGAAAGTAATTGGACTCCCTCTACACATGTGGAGTGAAGAAATTTTTTCTCGAATCGCACTGAGTATAGGTCAGCTCATTGGACCCATGGAGACCCCGTTGAATTTGCAGGATGTTTCACATGGCAAGATTTGTGTCCTAACAGACAAGAAGACAAAAATTAATGAGGAGGTTTCGGTGGAATCAAATGGGAACATTCAAAAGGTGGGGCTTCTTGAATACGATTCCGATTAGTCACCATTCCCTGTAGAACCTTGGACCAGTGATGAATATTGTGGACATGACGAGGACGGTTTGGTCTCTATCGAGGATGAAGAGGATAACCCGATGATAGGTGATACTTTGCATGATGTGAACGCGAACAAAGGATCTGAGGAAGTCGAGTTAGAAGAAGGGGAGATTCGTCATGATGGGTGTATTGGGGTAGCAGGGATCACATCCTCGGAGCCGATGACAGTTGATGACGGGCCTTCGCCGGAAATCCAGGTGTCAGATGAGTGAAGCACAAGGAGCGGAATTTGGTACGTCGGTGGAGGACTCAAGGAAAGGGGAAGATCAATCGTTCCCTACTATTCATGTTCAAGGGGAAGGAACACTCTTCGAATTTAATGTAGAGTCGACTAAAGATAATGGTAAAAGCGACGTTCCTGTGGAGACAAACACTGGGTCAAATTTTGACTTGGTCAAAGCAGGATGTTTTGGGCCATTTTCAAATGGGCCAATTAATATCGGGGGCAGGAAACTTCCTAATTCGTTTGGACCTGTTGAGAACACGGATGGAGAACCAAATCCGGATATAGACCTCATAATTGATGAGTCACTCACGAAGAAGAGGCGGTATTTTCCCCCTTCCCAAATCGACTTGAATAATAATCCTGATGGCTCTCTCTCCTCTGATGTCGCTCATACGGTGGAAATCGATACTATGGAATTAAATTGCCATTCTCCTCCCATGGATATGGGAGATAAGATCCATGGAAGGTCGGAAAGAAACGAGATAGACTTAACAGTTGAGATTGGCAAGTTGGTTGATGTTGACATTGAAGTTGGTAACGAGATTCTAGAAGAGGTAATGGGTGTTGACGGTGACATTCATCTACCCCAATGAACGTGATGTCTTTAAATGTAAGGGGTATAGGAGAGGCTCACAAGCAAAGTTGGGTGAGGAGCTTATGTTCGGCACATCGAATTTCGGTGGCTTGTATTCAGGAATCACAATTGGGGTTAGTTTCGTCGCTCCAATTAAATATTAGAAACTGCTGGGGCAACAACAACTTTGGGTATGAATTAATTGAAGCAACGAGTAGATCTGGAGGAATAATCACAATATGGGATGATGAGGTATTTACGTTTTTGGAGTCAATTAAATCTAGACACTTCCTGATTGTATTTGGGAGATATGTGGGCAAAAACATCGACATTGCAATAGTAAATATATACGCTCCGCAGGCCCCGGTCGAAAATAGAAGGTTATGGGAAGAACTAGCTCGAATTAAATCAAATAGAGTGTCAATGTGGATATTTACTGGAGATTTTAACACAGTCAGGAATAAGGAGGAGAGAAAAAATTCGAGATTCTACCATGTATCTGCGGATGATTTCAACCAATTCATCAGTCCAAACGTGTTATATGATCTAAGAATGGGAGGCTCAAAATTCACATACTTTAGACCTGATGATGGAGGGAAGTTGAGTAAACTGGACAGATTTCTGGTTTGTGATCAATTTATGGAGTCTTTTCCTGGAACATCAGTGACGGTCCTACCTAGAGATCTGTCTGACCATAGTCCAATTATGATGAAAATGGATTGCGAGATTTTGGTCCGAGACCATTTAGATTCTTCAATTCTTGGATGTATCGCAGGGGATTCCATGGAGTGGTGTCAAGAGCGTGGGCGAAGTTTAGGGGATTTGGATGTGCTGATTCTTTTTTAGCAGCTAAACTCCGATTCCTTAAAGCAGAAATAAAGAAATGGCGAGACTCAAATTTTGATAAAGAAAATAGGGAGTTAATTGAGTGCAGGAGTAAAATAGCACAAATTGATTCAAACGCGGAGCTGAGACCACTACTGGCGCACAAAATTGGGAACAGATCAAAATATCTGAGTAAAATTATTGAAATTGAAAAAGTGAGAGCCATGTATATGAAGCAGAAGGAAAAAGTGAAGTGGTTGGTTGATGGGGACGAAAACACATCCTTTTTTCATGGATTTGTAAATAATCAGAATAGGAGGAACCACATACATGGTCTGTTGATAAATGGACAATGGGATTCAAATCCTATTGTCATAAAAAACGAGGTTTTTCGTTTCTTTTCTTTGAAATTTGAAGAGAAATGGAAGAGTCGGCCAAAGAGTCGTAGCAGCAGATTTAAAAGACTTTCGTTGGAGGAGAGTTGCTTGCTGGAGAGGACTTTCACAATTGAGGAAATAAATCATGCAATATGGTGTTGTGGATCGGACAAAGCACCGGGACCGGACGGATTTACGTTCCAATTTTTTAAATTCTATTGGAATATTATAAATGAAGATATTATGACATTTGTTAAGTCCTTCGAGCAGAGGGGTAGATTTTCCAAGGGATGTAACTCGTCGTTCATATCCCTTGCGGCTAAGATTAAGGATCCGCTATCCTTAAATGAATATAGACCGATTAGCCTTATTGGTGCTTTATACAAGATTGTTGCAAAAGTATTGGCGAATCGAGTGAAAGAATGTATCGGTTGTTGTATCGATGAGGTGCAATCAGCATTTGTGGAAGGAAGGAGTATCCTAGAGGGTCCTTTGATTGTAAACGAATTATGCTCGTGGGTAAAAAGAACCGATCGGAAGATGTTATTATTTAAAGCGGACTTCAATAAGGCGTTTGACTCGGTAAATTGGGAGTATCTTGACTCGATAATGGAACAAATGAACTTCGGATCGAAATGGAAAAGATGGATAAATGGGTGTTTAGAATCCGCTAAAGCCTCAGTATTGGTCAATGACAGTCCGACAATGGAGTTTTCTATGTCTAAAGGAGTGAGGCAGGGCAACCCGTTATCACCTTTCCTCTTTATATTGGCAATGGAAAGTCTAAATGTTATGATGAAGGCGACCACTGAAAAAGGGGTGTTTGATGGAGTTCCCATTCCCAAGTCTAACATTTTATTTCTCATTTGTTTTATGCAGACGATGCTTTATTTATTGGAGACTGGTCAAAGAAAAACATCTCCAATTTGGCTAGCATCCTGAGATGCTTCCATATCGTATCTGGTTGAAAGTAAACTTCAACAAGTCAAAGGTATTTGGTGTTGGTGTAGCACACTCGGAGCTATGCAGTTGGGCGAACCCATTGGGTTGTGACCCATCATCCCTTCCATTCATCTATCTTGGGGTTCCAATTGGAGAAAATATGAACAGAAAAAAAAAGCCTGGAAGCCGATTATAGATAAATTTCGGTCCAAACTCTCAATGTGGAAGGCTAAGACGTTGAGTTTTAGCGGAAGGATGACTCTAGCTAAATCAGTTCTAGGAAATCTCCCGATGTTCTACTTCTCTCTATTCGCGGCCCCAACAGGTGTAATTGAAGAATTAGAAAAGATCCAAAGACAATTCATATGGGGAGGAGGAGCTGAAAAGGCAAAGTTTCATTGGGTCAATTGGGAGAAAATGATAACTCCAAAGGAAGTAGGAGGAGCAGGTTTGGACGCTCTTAGAAATCTGAATTTGGCCCTACTAGCAAAATGGTGGTGGAAGTTCAAATCAAGATGACAATCTTTTTGGGCTCAAATCATTATGGGGATTCATAATCACACTAACATACCTTGGTACTGTTTTTCAAAACATAAAGTGAGCGGGGTCTGGTCAGGCATCGATAGGGTGAAGAACGGCTTATGGAAACTAAATATGGAGGCGAAGGATATCTTATACCCAAATGATGGGGGAATGTCATGGAGATCTGATTTCGTGGTGGATGGGACCTTTAATGTCGCTAAACTTCGGAGTCGGCTGGATAGGGCGCCACATCCAATTAGTGATGGAGAGTTTTGGTAGCTAAACTCAGCCCCAAAAAAAGTAGTGAGTTTTATATGGCGTGCGAAACAGGGACGAATTCCATCGGCAGAAGAGCTACAAAAAAGGAACATCCCAGTTCCTTCCACAATGTGCGGGATGTGTACGAACACTGTAGAAATGACAAATCACATCCTCACATCTTGTCCCTTGGCGAGAGACACGATAAACTTGGTGCTCAGTTGGTGTGGCCTTCCAGCCAAGTCTTAGATTTTGCTCGGACTTGGGGTCATTGCCCAAAGAAGAAGGAGATGTTGGCTTGTATCATATATGGAGCACCGTGGAGCCTGTGGAGGGAGAGGAATGATTGGATATTCAAAGGTGTGACTTCAAAACCGACGAAGATTCTAAATTCTATAAAAACTATTGTGTTTACTTGGCGGAAATATAGGAAGCATAGAGGTGATAGTGTCGATTGGGATAAGTGGTGTATATCACCTATGAGTTGTATATAGTTTCCGGTCCCTAGCATCTTGCTAGGGTCACCGTTCTAATATAATTGCCGGTTCAAAAAAAAAAGATTGATATATGTACTCGACTCACGAGGATTAACATTAAATTACTTGCATCGATGCCATTTACTCTCCTTGCAAAAAAAAAAAAAAAAAAAAAAAAAAAAAAAAAAAAAAAACGGTTTGAACGTTGTAGGCAGGACGACATAAATGTCGAAAATGACATTTTATATGCGGACCACTCTATAATATGAAAATGTAGTTATGCAGTGATATATGGTTTCTATATAGATAATTCAAATCTTATTTGCTTTATCAAAATAATAAATTTCATTAAACCGTACCATTTATTTTGAACCTATAAGTAATGTAATAAACTGTTTTAGATAGAATAATAATATAGTCATGGCATGAACAATTTAATTAATACAATCTACCCTAATAAATGAAAATGATTTTGCCACATATCATTCTCTCATAAAATTAATCACATATAATTTTGTCATAATTTTGAGATATATATTTATTTTCCACTTGTCATTGCTTTAATTTTTATTTTCAATCTATCATTAATTTAGTTTTTATAAATTAAACCTACCATAATGACTATTAATTTTAAATTTTAAAATTTAAGTTCAATTTCAAATAAGTTTACAGTTTAAACCTTTATGTTTAACATTTTGTTATAATTAACTCGGTTAGTACACTAAACACATAATTTTAATTAATT